TTTTCATCGCGCTGAGATGACGTCACATGCGCGCTTTCGTCGAGCGCGCTTTTGTCCTCCGCGGTTTTGACGGGTCACGGAACCTTCAATTTATTCATGGCTAAAATTATTTTATTCACTAGCATTGGTCAAGTCTTTACAACTATTTTCTTTAAATGAAGCGATTAAGACATTTTTGAATTGCTCTACACATTTTCCTGAGACAAATCCAATCAATTTGACACGTTCACACACTGTCTGGGTGGGTTGGAATTCAAAAGGAAGTACATATTTGTCTGGGAAACACCCAAACCTGGCAGCTAGTTGCTTTTAGCATGCCTAAAAATAACATGTGATAAATTTCACCTTGATTTCTCCTTTGTTATTGCTTTTTCTTTTAAAAAAATCTGCAACATCTTATAAACATTTTTCTCTTTGTACTTATTTTTGTACAATGGGAAAAAAGTTTATATATTTTAAGGTAGTGACAGCCACTGACTATTTTAGTAAGGTAAAGGTTCAGGTTTCCCCTCGCACAAAAGTGCTAGTTGTTCCTGACTCTAGGGGGCGGTGCTCATCTCTGTTTCAAAGCCAAAGAGCCAAGCACTGTCTGAAGATATCTCCGTCATGTGGCCGGCATGACTAAACACTGAAGGCGCATGGAAAGCTGTTACCTTCCCACCAAAGGTGGTACCTGTTTTTTCTACTTGCATTTTTACATGTTTTTGAACTGCTAGGTTGACAGAAACTGGGACAAGTAACAGGAGCTCAGTAGGGATTTGAACTGCTGAACTGCCCACCTTTCTGATCGACAAGCGCATCATCTTAGCCACTGAGCCACTACGTTCCTACTTTATTTATTCCAGTCATGTGCACACTTATTAGGAAATAAATCTTGCTGGAATGTGCTCTTAGAGAAATTAATTTTCAAGGAGACATATCTAAAAGAACTTGAGCATTTCCTTTTCAAGGAAGTGAAGAGGTGGATGTAATAAAAGTCAAGAGGAGTCGGACAAATAAAAATGAAGCATTTAGTCTGACAGAGGCAATCACGCACTGTTCTGCACCATGGTATGGCCAGTTCATTTTATTTTGGTTTAAGATGATGTGTGAAATTTGGTTGGTGGCCCTTAAATCAGTTATCATTTGCTCTGGAGCATTAAACCAATAAGAAACCATTCCAAGTGTGGCATAACATGAAATGGAGATGGGGACGCATAAATTATGCTTATGATGATGAATGAATGAATGAATGAAAAGAACTGTGCAGAAAGAAAGAAAAAACAAAGCAGTAATAATAATTTAGTAAAGAAAAAAGGAAACATAAACATTACTTCTCCCTTCATCGTAAGTATAATTTTTTTTAGCAATTTATCTCTTCTCTCATATTCCTTGAAATCTCTAATCTGATCTGATTTGGCCTTCCAATAATGTCCTAGGTCTTGATTTATTTTCATTTTTTTTCTTTGTCTCACAATTTCACACAAAGCCCGTCAAGACTTTAAGAAATCTCCTTTGTAAATCTACTGCAAGAAAGATCCAGATCACTTTTTCCGTATAATTCTTGGAGCCTGTCTTTTAAAAATCCACTTTCAGATCAGTTGCATTGATAGGAAAGTAGACTTTCTACTTTGTTCCTCTTCCATAACATTGTTACATATGATACTCAGAGACCACCAATCTCCCTCCTAGACTCATCATGTTTTAAAGACAATCAATCTATAATGGGAGAAACTCCTAAAATTAACTTCTGGGTCTGTTGTTCACAAATATCCTTAATGTTAAAGTATTTGCTTCATTCTGTATTCGTAAATAAACTTTAAGAGTTTTTCTCCTTTAACTATAATCTTCAGTTCCTTCTGGTTTCCTGTGTCAGTCTTCATAGTCTCATCCTATCATTTTTACTAAGAATTCAAATTCTTGAATATTCACTTTCCAATGGGAAGGATTCTTATAATTAATTCAAAATCTTATTTCAAATGCATCTGAATTCTTGGTATAATTGATTTACAAAATCAATCTATAGTCACCCCTTTTATTCATCACAAAAAATTTTATTTACGTAAGTCCTTAAACTTGTATTTAAATTTCTTTTTTTTGGCTAAGGATTGAAGGAGATTCATATGATGTTTTCAGACTTTTGCTCCAAATGCTCCTAACAGCTGAAAAGCAGTTAATAAGCAATTTCCAAAAGTGTTTAGAAAAGGAAATATGCAAACACAATGTCCTTTGGAAAGATATTAACTGCAGTTTTAGCTAAGATGGCGTTCCCTTATCTCTCAGAGCTCTAAGCCCACCAGAGACCTCTGTCTTGCAGTCTCCTCACAAGGGGCAGCAACTGTCTGGAGCACTTGTGGGCGATCTCAAGTTCTCTCCCTGTCCAGAGAGAAGTTATGAAAAGCTCACTGGCTCTTTATTCTGCCACAGTTGTAGACTTCATTCTTAGCAAAGCTATCCTCAGCCATTTCTTCCCTGGAAGTCCAAAAATTCACCAGTAAAATTGGAATATGTGAAGCTTCTGTGTGGATCAGAACTTCCAAATCTGATTAGCTCTTTAGCTATTAACGATGACTGGAGGCAGATTTTGGAACATTTAGCATGAAATGCATATATGCTTTTCTGCTAAATTGAGAGTCTCTTCTTACCTGAGACTACATGTTCAATGTATTGCAGATCCCAAAGAGGAGCTAGAATACTACACTAGATGGATTTCATTCATACTTTCCTGAAGCACTTTTGAGATGATTTGCTCAGGTGTATACACAGTGGTGGGATTCAACTGGTGTAAGAACAGGTTCACTTTGCGTGCATGCATTAAGTTTGAAATCAGGACTAAATCTTACCTTTTCCTGCAGCCCCATGAGTAAAACAGCTCAGATGCCGCTTCACACAAAGGAAATATAGGACAAAATAGAGCAGGGGTGGGTGGGCGGAGCCAACTGGTTGCTGAAACAACTGGTCCGTATCGGCTGAATCCCACCCGTTACATGCACAAAAGTTACATACATAGTGATAGTTTTGCGCCAAGATGGATTTATAATTGTTTTCTTGATTCCTCTATAGTGTGTATATATGTGCATACACAGTGCATATAAAATACTGCCCATTGTTTTCTGTTTTAAATACTGTACATTTTAGCCCCTAAGCCACCATGTTTCTTTCCAGCAGATTCCAACACTAAGGGATGGCTTTCATTCAGATTGTAACCCTTCTACCCTTTAGTCCCGTGTGTGACAACATGTGTGTGTGTGATGAACTTATCAGCTTTACACATATGAATTTCTTGCTCTGTTCTTTTTGTCTGGCAAACCTCACAGAGTTTCTTGTCCGTTCCACTAATGTTTATTCCTCTTTGCTTCCCCTTGCTGCCGACAAGGCCACAAAAACCATGTCCATTGTAGGGATTCTGGGATATGTTCACCCTTCTGTCCTGCTTGCTTGTCACTGTGCTGGAGCTTTGTTAAAGGGAAAGAAAGCATTAAAGGGCCAATTGTTTCTAATTCTTAAAACATGCAGAGGTCTTTTTTTTAAGTAATGTGTGTATACAGTTTATGCTCATTGTGTCATCTATTATGAGAATTGTTTCTTATTTTGTAGCTTGACCATATACAGTACATATCACATAGCCATTGTTTTTGTGATTTCCCCCCCTCTCTTTAAGCTAAATATACAGTATATGAGATAAACCAGATGGAAAAATAACACAGTAGAAAAAATAATAATACCTTATTGGAAACCACCAGTATGTCTAGCATGAAGTAATTTACCAATTTGGAGAGCAACAAATTCTCACAATATAACAAAACCCCAGAGTTCCTTAATGCTATGAGGAGATGAGACAAGCCATTCACGGCATCTGAAAAAAAACACAGCACAATGATTCATTTCACTTTAACGTGTGATTTTCTCATCTGATGAAAAAGCCAATGATTTTAAAATCACAGGTTTCAGTAGATGATCCTGGCTTTACTTGGAGTCACTGGAGTTAATTTGGGAATATTTTTGAAGTATCTGAATAGGATGAAGTGAAACGAAACAACATGGCACCCAATGAGATGTATCATGTATTCAGACATAAATAGTTGCAGCTATCATTTCTATTGGTTTTTCTCCTGTCTTGTGGATTTACTTCACTTCTGCTTTTAATCAGGGGATACACTTACATCATTGGTTGCCTATTTGCACTAATGCTCACATTAAGATGTATTTTAGGCCTATCACCCTGATGGCGAACCTATGGCACAGTGGCACGTGGAGCCATATCTGCTGGCACATGAGCTGTCAGCTCCAGTGTGTATGTGCACACTGACCAACTGATTTTCAGCCTTCCGGAGGGTGGGGGAGGCCGTTTTCGCCCTCCCCAGGCTTTAGGAAAGCTTCCGGAGCCTGGGGAGGGTGAAAAATGGGCCCAACAGGCTAACAGAACTTCTGGTTTGCCCGTTGGGCCCATTTTTCACCCTCTCCAGCCTCTGGAGGCTTTCCTGAAGCCTGGGCAGGGCGAAAATGGCCTCTCCCCACAAGAGAATACCAAGCTCAGCTTGGAGGTGAGCAATACGGCGTGCAAGTGGAGGTGTTTGTGCATGCATGCACCTGTGGGGGGCGCTTTGCATTATGGGTGCTGGCACGCCGCATGCTACCGTGCACGCGCCCTTGCATTTTTGGCACCCCAAAACAAAAAGGTTAGCCATCACTGATCTATCATCTGCACCTTAGAAATATTAGCTATGGTTTCTTAAATGGACAATAATCATCAAGTTTTTACCACAGTTGTTAAGCAAACCAGGTGATCATTAAGTGAATGTTAAGCAAATCCACCCATTGAGTTTGCTCGTCAGAAGCCAACTGGTGAGGTCACAAATTGTGATCCTGTGACCACAGTATGCAATAAATGTGATCCCATTGCCTCCCCTCAAATTGTGACCAATGACTGCGGGGTGGTTTGATGGTCATACCTTTAGGATGGGTCCTAAATCACATTTTTCACCACTGTTGTAACTTCAAACATTTGCTAAATAAATGGTTTTAAATCAAGGACTACTTGTACTTAAGGTGATATGTAACCGGAAGTCCCAGAATTGGTGAATTCCTGAAGGACTTTCCTAAGCCCAAAAGGAGCTGGGCTGGCATGGCACCATATATTTGGCAAACTGAGGACAGTGAAATTAGAGGAGGACGAGCATTTCTTCTGATAGGATCTACAGATCTTGGAATATAAGGTTCATGTCTCCTTGGTGGCAACACCTTCCCTGTGAAAATTTGTGTGACTCCGGTTATTTTGCCCCATTTCTAAATCTTAGCCTTTTAGAAGGCATTGTTTTTGCAGGTGTTTTGTTTGGGCAGATAGATGAGCATACAGATGGTGAACGGAGTCTGACCGTTTATCTGTGGATAGTGGTGTGTGTGTGTGTGTTTATATTTGCTTAGCTTGTTTATTGTCTAATTTTGTAAGCAGGGGTGGGTTTCAAAAATTTTAACTACTGGTTGTCTGCCTGGTTGTTGGGTGGGCATGGCCATAGTGAGCATGGCCTACTCAGCCTCCTGCACCACAGCAATGGGGGGGGGGGGAAGAGGAATTTTTGCCCTCCCCAGGCTCCGGAGGCTTTCCTCCAGTCTCCANGTGCCCCGCGCCTGCGCGGTGGGCGAAAGGGCGGCGGCGTCCGGCTACTCTGAGAGGCTGAGGGGAGGATGGCGGCGGCGGCCGCCGAGGACGAGGCGACCGAGGAGGGGCGGCAGCAGCAGCGTCGGAGGCGGCGGCGGCGGCCCTAGGAGCGGGGACGCGCCTGCGGGGCCCGCGCACGATGTTCGGGCGGTCGCGCAGCTGGGGCGGCGGAGGCGGCGGCGGGAAGGCCTCGCGCAACATCCACTCGCTCGAGCACCTCAAGTGAGTCTCCGCCTCAGAGGCGCCGGCGCCCGCGGGGACTCCCGCGCCCATCGTCCGCAGCCGGCCCCGGCCCCCCCGCTCTGCGGCGCCGCCCGAGGATTGTCGGGAGGCCTCTGGAGCGTCGCGCGGAGCCCTTCGGCCGCCTCTTCCGGGGCTCCCTGGGCGCCGCCTCCGGGCCTCTGCGGGGCTTCTCTACGGGCGGTTGCCGGACGGGCCGCTTCTGAAGCAGAGCCGGCAACCCGGGCCCTTGCAGGACAGGTGGACTACAACTCCCAGGGTTCCCTGGGCGGCCATGCTAGCTGGGGGGGGATTCTGGGAAAGAAAAGGCCCCGCCTTCTTAAAGGGGCCGCGGCTAAGAAACAGGGAGGTCGTCTAAGGGCCTCTCCCGGAATTGGCCTGCCTCCCTCCCCCCCCCCACTTCTCCCATCTGAAATCCAACAGGATTTAATCACCGGTGGGGGCTGGTTTTGTGTCGGTCCCCCCCCCAAAGCAGGGAACATTTTGCCCCAGGGCTTCAGGATTCCCCCCCCCCCCGCTCTGTGAGTTGAACTGAAGCAGGGAAGGCTAAAGGAAGCAGAGGGGCTTCCCTCTCCTGGTGGGGCGGGGGGGGGGGCTGCTGGGGGCTTTCCCAGGGTTGGAGGGCTGGGGGGGGGATTCTGTGTGTGTGGTGGGGGGCAGAGAAGCGCAGAGCAGCCAAAGTCTAATAAGAAAAAGAGGTTGTGGGGTCCAAAGTCAACCCTGTGCTTCTCTCAGCCTCTCGGTCTAGCATTCAGGTCCCATACAAAGTGAGACTCCCAGGGTGGAGGAGATAAGCTAGACAATTTGCCCAGATGACCATAAATGTTTCCCCTCCCTTTTTTTTTAATATTCCGGGAAGTGTGTCAGCTTCTGCTTTGCTGTTGCTTCAGCTGCCATGAAA